GATTGGCGAGTGCAAAATCTTTACATGAATTAGGCTTAGGACATTGAACAGAAAGAGTTTGTGATTTTTTATATCTTTTGCACTTAAATTTATAGTTTTAAGTTCAATAATTTAGCGTAAATTTATATTTAGTTCATAATAATAATAGTATAATTCAGTATTTAGAATGATAAACTTGTGTAATTTGTATGTAATACTACTAGTACCAGTACCACATAAGAATTTTATATTTTTCCTTCTTACAATCTTTACTTTGTAGTAAGACCCACACTTCTGTTGTTATTGCTTTAGAATTCTAACTGATATAGTTTATTCTGATATTTTGCAAATGGTTTAAAACTCAGTGTACAAGTGACAACAATAAAACCCAAATGTTGGTTGTGAAACAGGCTAAATACATTCATCTCAATAATACAAGGAAGCTATGACATTTTCACAGTTGGGGTCTCAATACATTGAAGAGCTTAAGTTTTGCATTCCAACATAAATCTTGCCTAGAATTAGAGGAATGTGACCAGGACTAATCTTTTAAGTGCTGTAAAGTAATTTTCTTTGTAATTTATGGTGTCTGTATCGTTTGGTAATCTCTTCTAACAGGATGTATCAAGTAACAAGGGGTCAGGCTCAGGCGGTGTTTATTGAAACCACCTGTATTATAAACTGTTGCATACATTCATTAGTAGTGGCAGTTAGTTTTGTCTCTATTCTGAAGCAACATACACGGACATATGTTGAAATAAACTTGTTTGAAAGTTCAAAGAAATTATATTCAAGTACCGAAAAGCTTTCTCACTATCATATCTTCAGTGACGTTCAAATGCGCCCATGCTCGGTTGAACGAGAGTGACCCACAACATGGGTGAGATAGTTTACGTAAAACGTACAAAGTTCATGCTGCTGACCCCATGGTTTATTCGGCACAATAAACAAAAGTATGACTGCAGTAAAACATAAACTTGATATAAAAATATATTTATGAAACAAAATTAAAATGTTTTTATGTACATATATAAACATGAAATCCTAGTTAAAAATAACAATACTCATTTATTGTTTAGGTTTATTTACAAATATAATTTTTGGGTCTGTATATTACTTGAAACCATAAGAGTATGTGATTATTAAAAAATTAAAAATAGACAAAATTTGCATTTTATGGATGACAAAAGTTTGAGATTTTAAAATAACGTACTGAAATATAAAAAGTAACAAGTTCAAATCTGCAACAAATATAAATATCATAATCATTTCTTATAAATACCATTTCCTCATGTAATTTTCCAAGATATTAAAGATCATAATGGAAAAAAACTAAATTTATCAAAAGTAACAGGCCTTATGTTTCTTAAACTATGTGCATTTATGAAAGTTCTTATGAAGTTTCACACAATTTCATCCACTAGTTTTATTGTTGGAACGAAATATAGCAAGACTTGCATTGGCTATGCAGAAAGGTAGTAGCAGGTAGTAATCGGGTTAATGCAATTCATGAAGAAAAATTAAAACAAAATGTTAAAATTTTAATTTGTGTGCAGCTTCAGGGAGTCTTGCCTCTAAATAAAGCACTTGCCCATCCCAAAGAATAACTTTAAATTTACTAAGAAGCTATCTCTCCTGGATAATATATTTCATTTCTTGATTTTCAAGTATTATCCTTGTCTTTTTCTGCTTAGTTTTTGTATATACCTTGGTTACCAGCCTTTTATGATGTCACATTAAGTGGTTTGATTATTTGCTAATGAAACACAGTTTTGTAAATAGCTATAAGGATAGTTTAAATATATTGGATAGAGCAAAAATTAAACTTACTTTTCACATCATAGTACACCAAATAGTGGTTTTAAGCAGTAATTTATGGTTTCATGGGAAATTTGCTAGTTGAAGTTCCTGTAGTATTGACCAAAACATTCTAAGGGAAGTTTTGAAAACTTAGGAACAAGTCACAGAGCTGAGGATTGTTTCATATTGTCTTCAGTTGTTTGTTTCATTTGTGAAAGTGTTTGTATGTTAAATTATGTCTGTTTGAACGCTATGATGAAAAGACATCAGATAAGCTTCATTAGGTTTATTGAGTATAGTAGGTGATGGCAAAATATTCTGATGACTGAAGTCCTTATTTATTGAATATTAGTTTTGTTTATCATATTCAAACAACATACATAAAATAATTGGCTAACTGACTACTTAATTACTTCCATTTACAATTATTATATGTTGTAAATAAAAACATTATTATCATTAGCAGTAATAGTAAAACATGTTTTCATAATTTGTTTATTGACACGAGGTCAGTGGGAGATTACTTAATATTTTAAAAACTAACAAAAGTTTTCTTGATATTAACAGTTCACCAAGTTGGAAATTTTTAGGTTATCTTTTAAAAATGTTTCCACAAAAGATGTTTGCCAAAAATAGTTGTTGTTTTTTTGCTAAATATGCAAGTTGACGGTTGCCAGTGGAAACACTGGTGTGTGTGTTAGAAAACAATATCTTATACTGCACAAAGAAGGTAGTTGGAATTTAAGATATTTTAGTTGTTTGAGAAGAAAAACATTATAATTATAAAATAATGTCAGTCACTGCCTTAGTTAATTTTTATGTAAATTAGGTATTAAAGGTCTGTCATGTTATATGAGATGTAAATGATTGTTATTCAGTTTATGATAATAAACTTTAGAAAAAATGAGTGTACTTCTTTACAGTTTGTCTTTTCATTTCAGTGTGGAATATGGTTACTTTGAAAAGCAAGGATAGCCTGCTACCAATGTTGCATATAGGAGGTGGAGGTTGATACATCTACTAATGCTTAAACCTTCTCCCACTGTAGTTTCACCATTTCTATGTGTGTCCTGTTTCTTTATGTAAATAGAATTGGACTTGGTTCCAGATTCTGTTCAAATGAGCATGAACCTGTTACTTTGGCAGTAAAATGATCATTGATTCATCTGTAAAAATAACCTACATTTCTTTACAGGATGTGCTCTTGACACCTTTGCATGTGAGGTATTATGCTTTGCTGTGATGTCTGGCATACAAGCTGGTCTTGTGAAATCTATTTCTAGACATCTGTTCACAGACACAACATTAACTTGTGGCTGTGAATATCTAATTCAGTTTTCGAGAAGGTACTCTAGAAGTTAGAATTGGCAAATAATGTCCTCTTATTTTATGCATAGCAGTTTGCATTTTCTTGGTGTCCAGGAAATTTACACTTTGTTTGGAAACAGTTCATCATTCTATCAACAACACTCAGCTAATTGACAAAAGCATTCTATGATTAGCCACCTGTCATTTTTTCAGTAGCATGCCATATGAATGAAGCATCCATTATACATCTTAGAGGTCTAACAAGTAATGTGTAGAGAACATTAAAAGGGCAGGGAAAAAAATTGCATTTTTCAAGCATTGCAAAGCAAACTTTTTTAGGGGGTTGCATGGAATGGTAGCAAGTAAAAAAGTAAACAGATCCTATTTTGTTCCTGTTTGTTAAGTTGGGCTTATAAACATTTTAATGTTAAAAATTTTGATAAATAGCACTTCCAGGCAGGAGGGCAGGGGCTTAAACCTCCCTCCCCACCTCAGTGCACACCATTGAGTCTATCCGTGGTCCTTTAACAATTTGGGACACTTTAATCCCTGTGGTTTACTTTAAAATGACCATTGGGACAAGATTATGTGAAACCACTATATATATTTATCAGGCTTAATGACTAGTTATTTGCATTTCAGGTCACATTACTAAATCATCAGATACCTGATTTGCATAACATTGAACTGAGCAGGGAGATTTGTCATTATTTTAAAACAGTGACTTTGTCTTGTCATAACTATAATGTTACAAATTCTTACTATCCTTTAAATGACAGTGCTTAAATTAAAGGTACTAATATCCTTATGAAATTCCAAATACAGCTTCAGAACAGGCAGAAATTCAAAAAAAAATGGATGCTCTTCAAGGAGAGGTGGACAAACAGGATCAAGATATACGAACTCTTCAGAAACATTTAAAGGAAGCAGAACATATTTTGGTAATTATTGAGTTGTTCTTTTGATGCAGATAAATGAAAATTATAGTATAAATCAAGGATTAATATTGACTGTCTTAGAATCTTTTTTTTTATAACATCATGATGTCATAAACTGCTGCACATGTTGTGAATATTTTTTCTCATACAGAAGGAATTAGATGATTATTGATGAAGTAAAAAAATGAGTTTCAAAATTAAAAAGTGTTAATTGGGTTATGGAAATTTGGACCGACTTTTTTGTGTGTGAGAAATGTTTATGCTGTAGCAAAAGTGATTTTGATGGAATAAAAGAGTTAATGGTATTTTGTAGGATTTATTTTGAGTTTTATGATTAGACTCATTTTGTAACCTAATATAAAACGGATGAAGATTATTTAAAATACTGTTGCTCAGTTTTTGTTCCCTTACTGCAAGAAGGACATCATTTTGTTGAAATAAAAGGTGCAGAGGCAGGTTACTAGGTTGATGCCTTGTTTAACGAATTGAATCATAAAAATAAATTTACTTTAAATGTATTTGTTTTCTGAATTTTGGAGATACAAATGATTGATTATCGTATCTAAAATTGTTCTGGTCTTTGACTTTATGTCCATTTTGGATTGTTTGATGGTGGAGGGAAGGGGCTGGAAATGCTAATTTTCATATAAGAAGTAATGAAGAAGCTTAAACTTTATATTGTTGGACTTATGTTTCTATTTTTAATTCTTTGAAAATTATGTTGGGTGGTTATGTGGATGTGAAAGATTATAGTTTGATCTTGAAATTTAGATATTTTTTTTATGTCTATTTAATCACCCCATTTACAAAAGAAACTACTTTGTTTTCAGCAGGAAAAGTAAGATTTCAGACAGAATGATGAAATTTTTCCTCCTCAAAATACTTCACTTGTAAGCTGATAAATGTTGAATGTTTTACTACTGGTGAAATTAAATGTCACTACCACTACTGAACATGTCATATTATGTGGAACTACTGAATCTAATTCCATTAACATCAATCATTGTTAATGTGTAAAACAATAGGTTGCATGTACAACTGAAACTTTGAATAGATTTACTATTAAACAAAACAAACTAATCCACAATAGATTCATCAAGTGTATACAATAGTATAAAAAAAAAGACTTTGTAACTATCAGGTTGTGGTTTAGCTCATAGAAGAGTTTGTGTGAAAAAAGAGTTTTGATAAATAAAGTGATTGAATCAAGTATATCCACATCATGGTCATACACTATAATGTATGGTAAGAATAATGATAATAGGCATGTTATGTACTTATATTAAAGCTCATTTCTGACATTTTGTTTTAAGATAGTGACAGAAATTTAGAACTTTGCCATTATGACTTGAATACTAACAGATTTAGATATTGTGTTACATTTATTTTGCACAAAGCATCCAGTTTTACCTACTTAAAAGGCACAACAAATAAGAAATTGAAGAAAAAGGCAAAATAATATTAGATAAAAAATGTAAATTTTTTATCTAATATTATTTTGCCTTTTGTCTGTAAAGACATGCATGGCAAACATTGTATCAAAAGAAATTACACTTTGATATTGAAAAGGAAGAACATATTAGTTCATTACACTATTTCTTAGAGTAGAAACTCAACTATCAGATTGGGTGTGAAATATTACATTTGTAGACATAATAGTAAATTTAACTTATTATCATGTTACTATAATTTTCTAATTGCTGGGTAATGCAGCACAAAGGCAAATATTTGAATTCAAAAACATTTCATTAGGCTTAATTAGTAGTTAGGAATTTTAAACATGTATTTCATTATTGAGAAGTTTAACATTGTGTATTTAGGATGTGGAATTTAACAAAGATATTTTCATATTGTGTTGTGAAGGGAATAATTTAGATGTCACAGTTCAGAAAAGGACAAAATCTTGATCTAGCTATAGTGACTAGAGTTAATAAGTTGTGTCATGTCAATATTAAAATTTTGAGATTAACAATTAAGAAGATTACTGCTACTTTCTATAAGACTGTTTAAAACTTTTTGAAGTATGGTATTAGTCACCTTCTTAACCTATCAAATGGACATGTTCTGCATGAAATATCCGTTATTCCTTACAATATTAATAATATTGACTAGATTTGTTTGAAGTGTTATAAGCTTTGGAAATCTAGAACCATCTTCTTCTTACTGAATATCTTATTCTTTTAGATATGTAATTTTAGTTTGGATTATTTTGTTTTATTTTTTCTGTTGGATAGGTATATATATATATATATATTTATAGGTA